AGACGACATTAACAGAATCAAAAACTGGTGCATTAACATAGGTCTATAGAGATTTTATTTAGAAATTGAGGTGACATGCACGTATCTCAATAAAGGATTGGTAACGACTTAGCCAAAGACTTGTCAGATTTTCATTTGGCAGGATCTGATTTCGCTTATTCCTTTGGGAGTAAAGGAAAGAAAAGGCCAGCACGATTTATGAAAAAAACTAAAGATTTATAGAAATATTTTCGAAACTCGGTATATTTGAAAACCTTCCAGAAGAAAATATCTTGGAACTTGAAAAATTTACGGACCAAAAGCTTGCAGAAATATTCAATGTACAAATATTGCCAATTTTTTTTTTATGAAGAGATAACTTATATCATATATTTAACATGTTTGTGTAGTAAATTGGATTGAATTTACCGTGTCCATTGTTTTGATTCTATTTAGGTATAATTACAGCGATTTTTTCAAACTATGTGAGTACCACATCTAAAGTTGGAGCTGCATGTCTTCCAGTATGCAAGAGACCACGTTCAGAACTACTAGCCATAATGAGACCAGATAAAAGAGGGTGGTTAATTTGTGAGGGTGATTACGCTCCACTTTGGTTTGAACGGTTTCTATTGCCAAAGGATATGAAAAACTTTGACGACATAAAAACTGAGAATGAAACTGAATATGACATTAAACAAAAAAAAAAACTCTGATTTCCCAGATGACAAGGAAAACTGAGATTTTTCTACCTTACCTCTAGCAATTTTTATAAACGAATTTATATTAAATTGGAAATGTGATAGAAGCTTTAAGTGTCGTTTTTGTTAATATAAAAGTCATATCTGTTGTTTTTTATTGAATATTTTATACACCATACAGTACTTAATGTAATGGTAAATTACAGGCATCATTGCGTGCGTATAAACTCATTTTCTTATATGCTTCTTATCATCGATATAGATAAATATATCATATATATATATATATTTATATATATAAATAGATAACTAGTTTATTATGAAATGTAAAAAAATAATACATTGTCTTAACACATAACATTGTTAATAGTTAAATAATAACATGGTTTGTGTGTGTCCTTTACACTATTTTGGATTGATTGAACTTTTTTTGATCAGATTGACTATTTTTTTCGATAAACCTAATAGGTATATTGAAATAGGTAGCAGGTAAAACTCCGTTGGTCAAACTGATTCCAATTCCTTGTCATGTCGCCCCGTACCATCTCGAAAAGTTTCTAAATATTGCTCAGATTTTATTAAATCAGTTTCATACAAAGTTGACTGAAACTATTTTCATTTCATATTAATGAAAAGTTTCCAAAATGCTGTCAGATTTTATCAAATTAGTTACCTACTAAATTTTATAAAACTATTCCAACCGTTTTATGCCTCTCATAATTGTTAGTATATTTTTCAAATTTGCATTTCAGATTCGTGAAAAGTTTCAAAAATGTATAAAGATTCTATAAAATAACAATAATAAATTTATTGTGCTTTGAAAGTATTCTAACCGATTTTTTCTTGGTGCTGATCACTTAATTTCAGGAGCTTTCTGATATGTTTAAAGTTGTCAAATTCCTACAAAGCTTCCAAAAATTTTGTTTAACTTTATTAAATGTGTCATCCACTGAGTTGTCTGGAACTATTGCAGTAGATTTTTTTCTGATGCTGATTACATCATTGTTGACAGTTTTTGCGATTTTTAAAATTATATCCCAGCCAAACGCTTCAAGTTAGCCGTCTGACTTGAGGGTTTTTGTTTTTTGTCATCTGTTTTCAACTTCAAACCTTCTGCAGCTGATCACGTAGTTAAAATCTCCGGCAGATCACGGACTAATTCACAAGAACTCGGATATGGGTCTAATAGTTTCAAAAATATTAGTTTGAAAATAGTTTGAAATCGGAGACTCCACGTCCTTATCCTCTTTTTGTGAGTAACAACGAAACTCAGCATATAAAAACAGAAGCAAAAATCCAATAAGATGGATAAAAAAATCGTCTCAAGATAAGATTTAGAGAAGACCGTTCTCAGGCAAAGCCATCGAGTCCCAGAGGCTCACACCACCTTTGTATCATTTGTTATTCATTATTATCTATTGTTACCATTTTTATATTTGTATCTTATATTATAATCCAAATCCGTTTCTACTGTTATATTTATTATTTGTTTACTTACACCTTTCCCGTACCTCCAATTTTATTTTTAGTTCTGAAGATGACTCACATCAGTGGGTTGTACAATTAAAATTATTTCTAACTATTTATTACCTTTTTTATTTTAAAATTAAAATTTATAAAAATATTTTATTTCCACCCATTTTTAACTAAAGCAATTGGAGAAAAACATTCTATTGATTAGAAAAATATATTTCAGAATGCTAATTCCAACTCCTTCATCAGACTGGAGTAGAAAAATCTTTATCAAGAATTATCACAGCCATTCAATATAAAAATATACACTAAAAAAAAGAATAACTTCAAACAAACTTTACAGCTGAAAAAAGTATCAAATTAGTTTGGTTTTGTCACTGATAAAAGAACTTTTTTACGGTACCTCCTATACTAAATAAGGAAAGTATTACGATCAGTTCAAATTTCTAATATGCAGTTTTCGACGTATCTATACTTTTCAGAGCCCCTGACTCCGAAAAACACATTTTTAGCCAGTGGTCTATCTGTCTGTGCCAAGATTTTCTCGGGAATTAGTGAACCGACTTTTATTTTGTATGGTTTTGACTACTGATGACTGTGAAACAAATTGGGTGCTCCATGCTCAATATCTGCTGCACAATAAATGAAAAACATGTTTTTCAATAGACCGTAGCGCGAAAATGGCTCTAACGATTTTGATGAAACTTTCCTATAATGTTCTGATAATTGTTGAAATTAATAATAAAAAAATTAAAAGGTAATTAAATTACCAACTAACCAAAAAAAAAATCATCGGAATCGAACCAGTATTAGCGATGATACAGCTTATTCTATTTGTTACACATGTTTTAATTTATTACTTTTCTACCTACACTAGGTAAGGAAAGTATTACGATCTGGTCAAATTACCGATTTGCGGTTTTCGACGAATCTATACGTTGCAGAGCCGCTTGAGTCCGGAAAACACATTTTAAGCCATTGGTCTGTCTGGCTGTTTTTTTTTAAAGGTAACTAAATTCCCTACAAAACTATGTAAAAATTGTTCATTACGGACAACTATTAACAAAGTTACAGCTATTCAATTTCCAAAGTAAGATTAAGGGTTCATATCCTGCTGTCAGAAAGGGGTGAGTGAGAGAAAAAAGATAACTAAGTGAAAGTAAGAAAATCTGATGTGGATTTGCCCGCATCACACAAGCTTCACTATTTCCTCTGTTTTTAACAGAAATTAATGTTTGACAAAATTAGGTTATGGTAAAAAGTTTTTGGTCATAGTATTGAAATTTTTACACTGATCTACATTAAGTCGGTTTACATTGCTTTATTTAATAAATCGTACTCAAATGATTTCTTTGATCAATTTTCAGGAAAATAAATTTAATTCAATTTCTTTTTTTTTTTTGTTTCTTGATGGACATTTGTAAAGATATAAAAACTTTTCTGAAATAGGTAGGAAAGTCGTGTGAGTGGACACCACATTTTTTTTTTAAAAGGCATTAAAATTTTGTTTATAAAGAATTTTAATTAGAATATAGGTGATATGAAATTTTGTTAGATTTTTATTTTAAAGAATAAAACTGATAGATAGGAAAAAATTAAGATGGTGTTATTTCTTAATAACCACCTCAACAGTTTTAATAATGAACTAATAATCCATGTTAGACTTTGACATTTTTAAATATCGATGTTTCAAATATTCAATAATTGCTTCTTCAAATTTTGTGTGAGTGTGTTTATATTTATATATATAGGATTTTCTTTAAATGATAATATGTTTAAAAAAAGTACTCATAATGAGAGGAATTCCAATAAAGATTCAAGATAAAAAAACAGGAGTTACATATCTTATATAATATATCTAATAGTATATTATGTATAATGTTATAAAATAAGAACGTAGAATGGCCGTATAAGTACTAAATACCATTTAGTTGAATATTTTAGTGCTGATATTTAACTTTAAGCATTTAAAAAAAATAAATTAATTGATAATGTAAAAAGAAAAAGAAAATAAGAATTTAATACATACAATTTTAACTGTAAAATGTACAGTGAAAATACGGAAAATAAAAACTAATGTTTTCAGAAAATCATTGTTTGATTTGGAATGACAATACCAAAGCATTTTCAATAGGATTTTCTTTTTTTCTTTTTTTAATCCCTTTTATTTAATATCCTCTTTTTTTAGTCTTTATGAAAATTCGATGTTTTTTTCTAATGACATTACAGTTATTAATAAAGGAAAATGTTTTAAAGTAATAAAAGTCTACAATTAGCTTTTAATTTAAAGCAACATGCCGTTGCATCAGTTTACAGTTCCCAGCCTTAAATAGTATTATTTCAGTGTTATGATATTGCCAAACAGTTTACATTAAAAAATCGATTATATTCTTTGTCTTAAATGGTTTTATATTGCATTGTACAGATCTGGTTAAACATACTATTATATCACTCACGGGTTTCTATATCTTATACCGTGTTTCTAATGAGTTGAATATTTTTGATAATTATTCTTCATTATTTTTACTATTTTACGATCGTTAATATTTTAATCGAATTTCTATATTAAGATACATTGTGGTAATGCCTCTGGCTGTTTTACCTGTTTCTTCAAAACAGAATGAACATATTCATTGAAAATTAACAATAATTTACTGTTATAAACCACTATTAATACTCAATGTATCTTCTTTTCTGCTTTGAGCAATTGTTTAATCATTGATATCTATTTAGTGTTTACTTTATACCTTGATAACAAAAACAAAATGAATTACAATTATTTAAGCTGATCAAGCTATAGGAAAAATCGTGCTGATAGATTCAACTATTTCAATTTCTTACACTTACTTGGGCGTTGTTTTTTATCAGGAGCAAGTTGTTTTGTGCCATGGCTTACACGTTGAATGCGTTTCGGTGATTTTTCAACAGTTGATGTATTAGGCCCAGCTGATTGAGATCGTCCTAAAATTAACATTAAACGCTAGAACTGTCACAGAATATTTGGTGTGTCATATCATATGTTAAACTTACAATTTATTTGAATAGGTTAACTTAATTTTTCAATGTTTAGTATAAAATTTGCAAATAATTTCATACCGTTATTGTCACAAGTTAATTTATTTTATCTACCGAATAAAAAATACTTTACGAAGAATTGTACTTATTTAAGTGATATAAATTTAAAAAATAACAAATAATCACAATTGCATGTAATTTTATGTTCAAAATTTGGTCTCATGACTGAAATAGAAATACTTATAATCAAACATGAGTTATGCGCATGCGCCAGATTATAATATACCAGCGCTACCTCGCCTCTTAGATATATTCACTTTTTCTTGAGAAATTAGTGTTATTTTTTATTAAGATTGTGACTTTACGAACGCTAAACACCTGGACCATAATATGCACCAATGCCACAGCGAGTACAGTTGTTATTTATTGTGTACAGTTTTATAAAGTGAAGTAGATGTACAGAGACCAAGACAATTCACAAGGACTGAGACAATGGGCTAAACGCAATAAACTTAATTTTAATCTTGACACGGCAAAATATACAATCTTTACAACAAAAAAATAATAATTGTACCAGAATTGGATATACAACTCAATACAGTAAGACAAGCTCAATATGATACATTATCATCTTTGGGATTACTCTTTGACAGAAAATTGAATTGGAACAGACATTTAGACAGTCTATATAACGACACTTTACGGATTATAAATGGACTGTCAGTAGCTGCTAGAGCGACTTGGGGTCTCATATCGGAAGTGTTGAGAGAAATTTATGAAGCTGCAGTACTTCCTAAGATGCTCTGGGCTGTGTATGTCTGGCATCCAGCTGTAAAGTGTAAGAAGAATTTGGTGAAGTTGGAGAGGCTTCAGAGGTTAGTTGCGAGTAAGTTATGTAAGGGCTATCGTACACAATATTATTGGTAAGACTGTTGCCAATCCAAATGAAAATTGAAGAACGGACGGCCTTATTTAACATTGGAAAAGCGCAGAAAGGATACTAATACGTGACCTTGGACATAAAGAATCACTGACTGTAAATCTTTCCCCTGCCACAAGTTTACGGAATGGACCAGAAATTACCTCTGAAAATACTGATGTTTTTACTGGCGGTAGTAAGGACATCGAGAACGTTGGATGTGCATGGTTATTCAGAGCTCAAGATGGTAGAAATGTAGAACATCAATATAAATTAGAATCATATTGCTATTGCTATATCATATTACCAGGCGGAAAAATTCGCAGTTTTAAAGGTGACCGAATACATATATAACTACCCTCTATAAATGAACACATTCGTTAGAGTAAATGCAGACAATAAAATTCTACTAGACTCTGTTAATAATTTAGACATTCATGATTACTGGACTGACTAAATTAGATACCAATTATCAATGATGAAAACTCTAGGAAAAGTAGTGACTCTAAAATGGGTAAAAGTATATTATGGGATCGAGGGTATTGAACGAGCCGATTGCTTGAAAAAGAAGCAGCTAAAAGCGATTTGGCTGGATATGGGTTCAATTCAAGCGATGGAATTAAATGGGCGACCTCGACCAATTCACTAAGCTTACACAGATTTAAACCACAGATTACACTTCATAATTACTGACGCGTTCACAGTACTGACTACAAACAATCTAACCAAACAATCTGCCCTCCCAACCAATCTAACCAAACATCTCTAATACCCAATTGAGTTCCTTCCTGAATTCATTAGAACAACATTTTATCCTAGGTGCAGACTTAATAGTCTACTATTTTAGCAGATCCTCTTCGGGGCTTAGAGATTTCTTCTTGGTTCCGGGGTTAACGAAATTTATTTTTGATATTTTTGTAGACAGGGCAGCGCTTGTAGTTGGCAGAATGTCCTTCGAGGCATAAAGCACATACAGCGGGAGTAGTTTTCAGTTTATTGCATTCACTAGTCTTGTGTGACTCCCCTCATTTCACGCATCTTCGGATGTGGTGGCAGTAAGTTTTAGAGTTTGGCCAAATGCCTGGCAATTATGACACTATTTCTCTTTTAGTGTATGGGTTTTCATCCTTAACACTAGTATAATATAATCTTCTAATTTCATATATTTTATCGACTCCTGCTGAGGGTTCTAAATCTCTGAAAAATATGGGTAATGGTATTTTTCAATTAGCCCCGGATACATCTCTGTCGTCCTTCATTACATTGATGATCTGTCAGGCTTTGAAACCTAGGGCTATCAATTCTTCTTGGATCGCCTCGACTGGAGTAGATGGGTGTAAATTCCGGATTACAATACTCAGGGAACGCTCTTGCTCAATTGGTAGGTGTGAAAATCTGCCTTTGTGTCGGATAGATATTTAATTATTTATAAAGGTATGCATCAGCTCTGCCTGGAGATATTTTAATATTGTTAGACCGGCTTAAACAAGAGTAGCTACCAGGAGATGTTATTTTGTTGTGTGCATAGTAGCGGGCCAGGTACTTATGGCTGCGAGATAAGAGAACTGGCCTCTATACACCTGCTTCACTTCACACAACTGTACACTATATATAACAACTTTACTCACTGTGGCATTGGTGCATATTATGGTCCAGGTGTTTAGCTCATGTATAGTCAAAATTTTATTAAAAAATAACACTAATTTCTCCAGAAAAAGTGGATACATCTAAGAGACGAGGTAACAGTGGTATATTATAATCTAGCTTATGCGCGGAATTCAACAAAAGAATAAGACCAAAAAAAATATATACATAAGTAAATAAAAATAGAAATAAAAGTAAAATAAACATCTTAGATACAAGCATACCTATATACACTATTTACAATCAGCCAAGGAAACTCCGAACCAATATTTTCCCCCCATATGTGAAGGGAAAAGCGAGGCTCAGGAGATCCCTGCGCTTCTCCCTCAACCACTTCACTGGTATTTAAAACCAGCCGAGGATGAGTAAGTGCGCTACAGCCACAGACACTCATGACTTGAGTGTAGAATCTGGCCATTGAAAAAACTAACTAAAGTCAAAGTCGTCAGTTGGCCATGTTTGGACGCCATTTTGGGGCAGTTAGTTCACTTTTTTTTGTGTGGTCATTGGTTTTTTATAATTAACAGTTACAAGGAACACAACTATAGGCAATTTATAGAGATGTGGGAGCTAGGGGGAGTGCACGGTAGGGGGTCTGGCCCACAGACTAGTTCATTTGATGGACAAATTGTCAATTGCTTAATATCACTGTTTTTAAACACTATAGTTCAATAAATCACTAGTAACTTAATAACCTGTGAGGGACCAAGTAACAGGTAGTTTGTAAGAAATTATCGCATTCGCAGGACTCGGCGACAAAGTAAAAGCGAAGTGTTGCATGCTATAAGTTAAGACAAGTAACCGAAAGTTTCCTCAATTTGGAAGCAATTAATGGAGTTCAGAACAATGATCGCTTTACATTATGTGAGAAACAATACCCACCTTGTGTATATTATTATAAAATGTAAATAAGTTACAATGTAGGCTCACGCCAACTCTCACTATCATTTCTTTTTTTTCAAAACTGTATACAGATTATTAAATAAATTCCGTATAAATTTATCTTTCTTTGAACTTAACATATTCTATTTCCAATTAATAAATAAACATTTTATGTTTGTAATATCATTTTACAATATACCAGTAAAAGGTTGAACTTTTTGAGGACTTCGAGTTGATTCGTTTCCAGTATCTTTCCTTCTTATTAAAACTGGCTCTAGTTTTTCCCTTGTTGGTGAATGAAGTATCCCCTCTTCGCCTAAAACATTGAAGAGAACCACTTAGATCCATATCTCATTGAGTTAACTTTTTAGTCGATCTATTGAATTACAAAATATAAATATTACTTTTGGATAAATATTACAATCAAAAAAAGTTTTAATTCAAATGACTTATTTCATAAATAAGACTATATAATAATAATTATCAGAATGATAAATTTATATAAGTTAAGTTATTGATAATTTTATATTACTTAACTTGCTCGCTCTAAAGATGACCTAAAAGCTTGGTTGGAAGCATTGACACCCACCCACAATAATAAATATGACTGAAAACCCTGACTAGTCAAACCTCCAAACCGTCAACTTTAATTCATCTCCTAAGCAAATTGATAGATCTCCCTATATCTGAGCATGTCATTATAGTAAAAAACACCTGTACTTGTATACAGAATTGATCATTAGATAACTAATTTTTGGTTAGCCAAGGTTCAGTTAAACAGCTAAATATTTGAAAAGTTGTCTTCAATAAATGTGCAGGTGATTTTGTCATGGCCGTAACTGCAGTTCTTTGCTTGCATCGCTCTGTATTAGTTACCTTGTTACCAGTAGTCAAATCAAATTAGACATGTTACTTTACAAAAGGTTGGTTGATTCAAATTTCTTTTTTATATTGTTAGGTGTTCAGTGAATATTAAAAAATCCAAGTTTTGGCTCCCTTGAAAGCCTTTTGGGTTCTCTGCAGTGCTCCAAAAACCATTTAAGTTTCGAACTTTTTTATTTACGCTAAATACCTCTTTTTTAGAGCAAAATAGATAAAAAATGGTTATATTCAATTTTAAAAAAATTAAAATTACCTAACATATTTTTCTAAACCAAACAGAAAGAACCAACTATCGAGCTTTCAAAATTAGTAAGTCCAGGTGTCTTCTGAGATTCTTTTATTTTTATTTATGTATGTTAAAAATGTATTAATTTCATTTCGATTTCTTCACAATGATGCTGTTTCAGTTTTGAACGGGAGAATTCTGTAACTCCATTTTGAATCTGGTCCAGGGAGTTTGCAGGTTTTTCTTGAAGATGATGAGCCAATGACTGGAGCGGTAGACGGTAGTCGGTAGGTGTTTTGAAAAGAATGTTACACGGAGGGATAAACCCCTCCTACCGTGCATCCTCCTCACCCCCCATCCCAATAAATTTCATAAATTTGTGTTCCAAGTAACTATTTAAAAAAAACAACTAATGTTTCTATAAAAAAAAGTAGCCGCAATAATCCAAAATGGCGTTCGAACAAGGTAGATTGACGTCCTTGACTTGAGTTATTTTTTTGGTCACTGAGATTCGGCATTTGGCTTAATTTCGTCATACCGTGTAAATACTGCTTCTTTCTCCAAATACTGCTGCTACAAATTCTAAACAGTGAGTTTTTACACATTTGAACACATTTACAATGAAATAGTAAGGGGAGAATCTTTTATTAACAATACCTAGTTATAACTGATATCAGGTTGTTAGAGACAGCATTACTGGTCGGTAATCCCCTTACGAGTCTTAATTTATCTACTTTATTCACTGCCACGGCTATACTATATGCGTACAAATAATCGTTTCTTCCGTTAGTATCCAGTTCGAACCCAAGACTAATCTCTTTTTTTTCTTTTCTTCTTCTGAGATTCTTTTATTTTTATTTATGTTTGTTAAAAATGTATTAATTGATTTCTGTAAATACCTTAGATTTTAAGAATTTAACTCGTGAAGTTTCATTTTAGTTTTCTGTTATACCAAATACAGATATATATATATATATATATATATATATATATATATATGTATATATGCTTTTATTTTTTGTTTTCACCTTAATTTTATCATTAAACCTGTTAAAACCTCGTCTTGTGAAGAATCGGAGGAAGAGACTCCATTTTCAGAAGTAAGGGAACCAGATTCACAACATTTGAAAAGACGAACTCTACAAAAGCGCCAACGAAACTCTGTCCTCGGGTCGGGAGGAAACTCACCAAATAAGAAAAAAAGTCGTATAAATACAAAAAATAACTAGAATGCAAGCAATCGACGCCAAAACAGGAAAACTAATACAGCTGTTAAACCAGAGCCAAACCATCATCTACATCAATTAGCAACCATGTTACAAACAGCAATATATCGAATCAGACTACGGTCTAGGCAGAAAAGCCTAAAGAATTTTCTGAACCAGAACCGCCAACTATTTTCGTTGCAAAAACAGATAATTTTATGTCCTTCGTACAAGAAATTTCAGGCTTGATAGGATAGCCGAACTTTCGATACTTCTCTAGTCAAAGTTCTAGCTGGATGTTCGTGGGAATCCAATAGATCAAGTATATTGAAGGTATACACCTGCCTAGTAAGATTTAAGTTAGATCGTAGAGTGCTACCAATGGGTAGTTTCTCAACAAGCGTGTTTCATGTGTTAATATTCCTATGTACACATTTACTTGATGTATTCATACTAATACAGTTGTAAATATCATAATAAAAGTTTAAAAACAAAAAAAAAAAGTTAGATCTTATAACAAGATCTAAAAATAATGGTAGCTTTTCTATTTATCTGTTTAAAAAATACAGCTTTCAACTTTAGATTCCGTTGATCATGCGGGTATTTGTTTAACAACCAGAGTTTTGAGAACTATACCTGTAAAAAGTTTATGAATAGAACCTGGCATAGTCAGAAGAAATGAAATCTTATTTTTTAACCAAAAGCTTGAAGATTCGCGTAAAACCAAAGACAGCCTGTCCCACTAGTAATAAGAGCAAGAAGTTATATCGAATAAATCAGGTATCTCCAAACAACAACCAATGAATTCAACGTCGAACTATGACCTCTACAATAGTCCGACGTGGGGTACGTGTAGTTGGATCTAAATTCTGTTGGACTTGTGATGAGGGTTTATCTTGGGATTAGGAACGGATGGAATTGGGTGTGGATGCTCTAGCGGGTGTTTGACCCTTAAGGGTAGATGATGAGGAGGGATTTGCTGATGAGAAGGTTGATGCTGAGGTTTAGCGGTTTTATTCTTGTATTGATAAGACGCCTGACGTCGAGGCTGCTGGTTCTTAATTGTTGTGTGTGGATGTGAATTTCTCGAACCCTGTTGACGATAGTCAGTTACTGCGGAGATGGATGGGCGTGACTGGATAAATTGAGAAGGCGATGACGGCAGTTCTGGTAAATTTGCCCTATCTTCAATTTCGGGAGCCTCAGTGCCACTTTTTTGATCAAGGCTAAGACTTCTCGACTTTATATTATGCGATCTCAGCTTTAGAAGATTTTTATAAACTATGCAACCTCTGTATCTCGCTGGGTGTCCCTCGCCACAAATTGCACATGTCGCAGCCTCTTGCCTTGGTTTCTGGCAAATATCAGACGCACGTGGACATTTGACGCATTTGGCCTTTGTGTGTCCCGAATTTTGACAGTTAGTGCATTGTACTACTATAGGTTTTTGTCTGGGGTCTTCAAAACGGACAATTGAGTATACAAGATGTTTTACTTTAAATATTTCCGGTTTTTTTTTTTTTTTTTTTTGCAGGTTCGAAATCATAAAAAATAGTGGTAGCGAGTATTTATAATTAGGATAAGACACGGTTGCCATGCTTCTTATTCTATAGTCTATTTCTTCTAAACCCATTTTGATTGAGTAGTTGAATGAAGACCTCTTAATACGACACTGTATGTTTTTTTCTGTCTGAGGTGGTAACAATGGGGATCGTATTTTCTTGAAGTCAAATGTTCAATTAGGTTTTTATAATTTTCTTATGAGTTGGTATTTATTTTAATATCATTGACTTTGGAAAAACATGTAAACTTTGGCTCTCCTATCAGATCAGCGATTTCTTGTCCGAAGGACATACAATTTTCAATTTTATCAAGAAATTGGAAGGCGGTTCAGGATCATAAATTTCTATTGGCTCCAGAATCATGTTTTGGCAGAATAGATTTTTGGCTGTAACAGAGTTTCTGATGGAGGTGATTGGTGAAATTGATTCTGATTTGATGGCTGAAGTGGTTTTGCTGCTAGTATTTGATGTAGTTTTGTTTGTTCCAGATGATTTTTTTGATTTTACCGAATTATTATTTTTTCGTGTTTGGTGATTTGCACGCTAATCCAGGGGCAAACTTTCGATGGCGCTTTTGAAGAGTCCTTTTTTTAAAATGATTGTGGATTGGTCTCACTTACCTCGGGAAATGGGGCCTCTTCCTCCGATTCTTCACCAAACTTATTGTCAAGTAGTATGATAAGAAAAAAAAAACACTTAAAAGATAGATACAGTTTTTCTAAAGTTACTTTTTTTATAAAAAATTATGTTTTTCATTATAATCAAATACTGTTTCATTATACCCAAGCATGCAAAGATGTCAAAATGTGGTTTCATGAGATAAAATGGAACAAAGTGTCATAAAACATCATAAACTACTGCAAAAATGTAAAAGAAAATTTTATTGGACGTACTTTTCTACACGAAATTGATTCATCGCCTCATTTTCAAGATATATCAGAAAAGCTTGAAAAAGTAAAATTTGCGTCGCCCTCTCCACGATGAAGCTGAAGGGGTAAGGGCGGGAACTTTTAATATATTTACCTCCTAAGTGCTCCTAACAAATTCCCAAAGTCAATTGCTTGTCCATCCTCTATAAGCCCTTTTTTTTTATTCAATGGCTGGACTATTAGGATTTGAAAAAAAACTCGAAACGACACTGGGTCACAACATAACAAATATAAAGTTCCTAATTAAAATTCTAAAAAAAAAATAATAATAAAATAAATTTTAAAAAATCAATATAATATAAAATTAAATTAAAAACTGTATAACCTAACCGTTTAGAGTCGAGTAATTTTATCAACTTCATCAATCTTTACAAAAAATTACTCGTGAAAAGCTAAATGCACGTTTAACTATATAAGAAAATTCCATGAACATTTATAACAACTTTCAATCACAATTATTTAATCGTGTTAGGAAATCAGGTAATTTTCGTGAATAAAAACCAAAAAAGGATTTAGATATTTTAATTTATATTACTTTCCTTTAAATCTATTAACGTACCTACACCAGTTGTTCTTTCTAAATGATGTCGCACAAAATGGTCAATGCGAGATCTTGGAGGGAAATCTTTTCTTATTTCATCACATTTTTCAATCTAGAAAAAAAAAATGAAATATGAATAATCACTAAGCATTTTACTCATCTTATTCTCATTCTCTTAAGCTAATGTAATGAAGGGTTGTGGTTTATTAAATAATTAAATTCTTCACTAAAAAAATAATTAACAAAACATGCTATGTATAAAATAAATATTTTTTTTTTTTAGAATTACTACATATCATTTTTCCCTCTACAGATATATTTATATAAAATTACTTGTCCACTCAAATTTCATACAATTATATTTACTTGAATAATGATTATTTCATTATAGACTAAGATTTAAAGTACGAAAAGTGAATATGAAACTTTAACTGTTGCCTAGTATACGGGATGTTTCAGAGTTAAGCAGCCAAACTGCAAAAATAAACTAAGGACCTCAAAACAAGAAAAAATTTCCTTTGAAGGTGTACTCGCAAACGCTTTGTCTAGTAGATATTCACACCTAAAGATTTTTGTTGCTATGAATTATTTACGTTATATGAAACAAATAAAGCCTATTTGTTTGTTCTAACTACTTTATTAATTAAATGTAAACATTGACATCCATATTAAATATTGTTCAAAGTGAAGGTATGTCCGCAAACGCTTTGTTTAGGAAATGGGTAAGATAGAATAGTAATATGGCCTTTTATTCCTAAATATATAAAAACTATTGGCAACATAAGGATTAATAATATATGAAATTAGCATTGGGAACTCCCAAAAATATTTATCAGTTTGTAAGAGGCTTTCTCAGAGTACTCCTCATTGTGTCTTCCAATTGTACTAATGGTGAATATCCCGATAAGCTGTTTGTATACGATTTTTGCAATGCTAATGCTAATGCTTCCCGTCGTGAATATGCCAGACGATTTCCGAATAGAAGATTACCAAACAAGTTTATCTTTAGCTCCACGTTTCAACGTCTTAGAGAAACTGGTACATTTGATAAAATACCACGTGCTGGTCGTATTTTTGCCCCATTACAAAATGAAGAAAGGAGTGCGACCATATTACAATATTTTTATGATAATCCATCTGGCAGTGTATGAAGAGCTGGAGCAGGATTATATATTACGCCAACTACAGTATGGAGAACTCTCATTGCAGATGCACTTCTCCCATATCATCATCAATGGGTACACAATTTATTACCGTTTTTTTTTTTATTACAATTTTTTTAGTTGACCTGTAAAACATGTTAAGTGCACAAGCCTTTCAAAAATCTGTTCCAATCGACCACACTTCTGTTCGGTAGTTTCAGCTGATCTTTGCCCCATTCAGTTATTAAATTATAAGACCAGCCATAAAAAAAAATTTAAAGCCGTTAAAAGGGTAATTCTTGACCCCTCTAATCACGTTTCTTTTCTTGTAAAAATGTTTTTCCAGCAACTTCGACGAAAAAAAAAAAAAAAAAAAACTGGAAACAATTGAATACGTCACTAATGGCTAAGCAGAGGTTATACGAAATAAGAAAATAGGTTCCGTGGCTACCGGCTAAACAAGTACCGAAAATTGTTATGGCCTCAAAAATAAGACAAATAACCCGTGCTACCAGTTCATCTTCTTTGTTTAATTAGACCTCCTGAGGTGTCTATTGAATTTGTTAGCTTCTACAAAATTGACCTCTCTCCGAGAATCGGAGAGATATTAAAAAAGCAAAGAACATCTTTAAAAGGTCCATTATAGGCGATTATTAGGTTTAAATGGGCTATTTTATTTTTATTTAGACCATTGTATAATAAGCTGCTTTAGATATTAAATGTTATGTAAAACTTGTAAGCTTTATTTTCAATATACTATCCTATATATCAGTGTAGTTAAGAACTTTTTCTCTGTTTAATTTACTAAATACAAGAATTTTTTTTTCTGTTCTTCCCTTCCTCGCCTTCCAGACTGTATGGGGTTTTTCCGGGCCTGAGGATGAGGGTGGGGGATTAATGCCAGAGTTAAAGAACACACTGGCATGGATGCAAAATCCTACTTATTTTATTCCATATAACTCCGGTTATCAGGTTGCCGGGCAACGCTTCCTGCTTGTGTTGCACACGCGTTAGACCGCTCGGCAACCCCGCCCCTCAAATGTATTTATTTGAATAAATGACCCAGGAACAGCATGGTCAACATTGAAGAACGCAGTTCATGTCCAGTTTACGTCTTATCATATCAGCTTACCTAATAGCAGTTCAATAAAAAGTTAAGTTACCTAATTAATAAATCCAGGGGATAATTAATTGAAGAGGAAAAAAGAAGATATAGATATAATAGTACATCAGAAAAAGGTCAGAAAAGAACTTATTTACATTATTGTCCTAGATCCGAGGGCGTAGATGGACCATTATTCGAAACAATTTTATTTTATTTTTCATGTCCAGTCTAACTTGTATATTATGCCTCAAAATGGTCGGAGTCCGTCATGATGGCCTTTCAATGACATCTACAAGATCACGCTAATTTAATTTTTCGTTTCAGCGAAACTATGCGTCCAAGCAATTAGATTATTTTTATATACAATGTAGGCTGATTTGTAACAGGATTGATAGTATCCATTTTTAGCTATTTAGTATAGTTCCCTAGACATCACTAATTTCGAGAAAAAAAATTTGCCACTATTTTTTGTCTATATTTGATTAGTTTACTATATTTGATTAGCATCTTTTCATTATAAAAAAAACAAAAAAAAAACGGATGGTAGATAACAGCACAATCACATGCCATTTAGTACTAGAAATAATAATTCTTCATTTATAGATATAAAATTGTCTTGCAAATATTGAGCACTCCACCTTTTGGCTGTACGATAACTAAAAAAAAAATGAGGGAGTGGATCCTTCATTGTTATTCTAATGCATATCCTTCCCTGTGTCTTTCTTTTATGAAAGTGGAATGGGGAAATCCAGAAAGTCAGTTTTTTTTTTTTTACAAGTTTACAATCCAACAATTAACGATGTGAGAGCGAAATTATTTCACATAGTTTTTAAAGTAAATGTCTATGCACTCTCTGTTTTCGGCAAAACGATTCAATATTTCGCATTCCATTGTTATCAGATGGTCCAAGGTGGAATCCACTTTACACACTTGATAGAAGGTCGTTTGTCTTTAATATTCACGTTAGCCTTTCAAAAACTTAGAACTAGAAAAAAATGTCTTTTCTAATAATTTACACATACACATCGTAAGTGAAATGGGTCCGTAGCTAAAACGAACTAACTTATTTTTTAGTGGTTTCATAGTCGGGAAAACAAATCGATGTTCTCCTAATTCTGGAAAAGTCACCCTTGTACCAAACGTGATTGTAGAGAGTGCAAGAAATGTACCAAGAGCAGGTTTAGGTAAATGTTTTAACATTTCATTATGAATCTCTTCTATTCTAGGTGAACATAGTTTCAGTTCTTATATTGGATATTAGTTCTGTGTTCTTATTCGGAAGGTTGTATATGTTTTCTGTTTGGGTATTAATCATTTCAAAGTTTGTATCTTTTGTTGTTGACGGTGTTTGTGGGATGTATATGTTAGAATAAAAATTTGTGAAATGCTCATCCAGCATGTCTGGGTTTTGTTCTATACGTTAGTTGATAAGCGGAATGGGCTGATAGTTAATATATATTCCAGAGTTGCTCTGTATCTTTTTCCAAATTAAGTTAGGTGGATAGTTTGATGGCATGTTCTTCAAAAATTGTTCTCAAGAATCGTTTTTGTTTTTTAATTATTCTACGAGACGTTGAACAGATATTTTAATATTCGATTAGGTTACTTAAAATAGGTTCCCTTCAAAATACCTTAAGTGCCCTTATTCTTTTTTTTTATGTTTGCTTGCCTACACTCGTTTTCTTACCAAAGAACACTTCTATTTGAAATAGTACTAATGGAACTTTCTAGAATCGATGGATCAGATGCTGCAAAGATCGAAGAGGTGATTAGTTAGTTAATCTCATTACTATTGTTAGTTCGCAAAATATTGGATTTCGCTGTTATTATATTATTTTGAAACGTTGCCCAGTTGGATTTTCCTGTGATCCACTAGAATGCTTTCTGACTCGGACGTTACTATGTAGGAAACTAATGATTAAAGGAAAACGATCACTTGAATATTGATCATTAGAGACCTGCCAGCATAAATGAGTAAAAATACTTGGTAAACACCACGCAAAATATGTGCAAGAAAAGGTGTTGTTGGCTGGACTTAAATACGTTGGCTGGCCAGTGTTTAGAATTATTGAAATATTAATAAAATATAATTAATAAAAATATAGAATTTGTAGGATCAGGACAACCCATATGATTTGATTTAATTTTATCAACAATCTATATCACATCTAAATAATATAATGTGTTCAGATGTTTTATGGTTATTAAATATATTGATTAGAAAAATCTCTAACTTTCTTTAAAGATATTTATTAAAGTTAATCAATCTTAACTTAACCCATAATACTGATAAAACGACTAGTAATATTGATGACCACCCGACGTGATTAATAATTAGAATGCTGAATGAAAGCAACTTGTATATTCCAGAAATGACAGAAAATCGACAATCAAAAGAAGAATATCTTGAAGTAAGCAAAGTCTCCGTTAAAATGCCACCATTCTGGCTTGAACGACCGGATGTATTTTTCAGACATGCCGAAGCCCAGTTTAAATTAAGCGGAGTCACTACTGAAGGTACGAAATTTGATTATTTAGTATTATTATAGTGATTAAACTTGTTCAAATAGTGGCACAGACGAATTAATAAAACAGCTTGTTATCAAAATAGAAACTATGGATGCCCATATTTCGTCTATATGGGATTCTAAAAGTCTAAGTAATTGTCCAGATCACCATAGTAATAAGAAATTTCTCAATAGAAACCGAAGTAGCAGCCGTAGCCGAGGACGCTTCAATCCGAATGGAAAATATTGTTCTTACCATCACCGCTTTGGGAAAAGATGTCTTCTCGAAAAGTGCCAGCAATCTTGCCAAGGGAATCAGGAGGGAAACGAGAGACTATAGTAGAAGTAACGGCTCATT